GCCCAAGAGACAGAAAGGGCCACATAAACCAGAGACTTCATCAGCCTGAGACCAGAAGAACTAGATGCTGCCCGGATACCACCAACGACTGCCCTGACAGGGAACACAACAGAGAGTCCTGGATGAAGCAGGAGAAAGGTGGGTGCAGTACTGAAATTCTAGTAAGAAGACCAGACTTAATTGTCTGACTGAGATTGGAGGAACCCTGGAAAACATGGCCCCTGAATTGTCTATCAGCCCAGAACTGAACCAATTTCCTAGGCCAACTCTTCAGACAGGGATTGGACTGGACTGCGGGACATAAAGCGATACTCGTGAGGTGTGTGCCTCTTAGCTCAAGGACATACAAGAGACCAAAGGGGCAACTTTTGTCCGGAGGTGAGATGGGAAGGCAGAGAGGTTTAGGGGCTGGTTGAATGGACATGGGGAACCAGGGGTGGAAAGGAGGAGTGTGCTGTCACACTATGGGGAGAGCAATCAGAGTCACATAACAATGTATATATAAATTTTTGTATGGGAGGAAGAAAAAGATTTCATAGCAGAATCTTGACCAAAAGGGGGAAAATGCAGTATAGAATTTAAAATTCTCATGGACTCTAGACTTTATGGAGCCATGGAGGCTGGTTAAACCTCCAAAACTACTGCCCTGCAATAATCTTTAACTTAAACCAAAAATAACCCCTGAAGCCCTCTTTAAACCAAACAACAGTTTAGCTTAACTAGTAAAGAATGTCTACCTTGAGCATTATGCTCTTTTAAGATATACCTATATGTGCTCAAATGGACAAAAGCAACCAGAAAGATAAGAACATCAGGCGGCAGTGCGTTTCTGTTAATGGGGGAAAAACAACTCAGAAAAGGAGGGTGAGAATGGTTGCACAACTCAAAAACATAATCAGTGTCACTGAATTGTACAAGTAGAAACTTGAATTGGTTTATGTTTTTGCTGTATACATTCTCAATAACAAAAATAAATTATTTAAAAAAAAAGTGTATATATATATATTTTTCCAGCAACATCTGACAGCCCAGTAATTAAATTAGTATAGAGAAGGTAGAGAACACTGAGAGCCAATGCTGCACATGGCAAGAAGGGAGTAACAGAAAATTAAAGATGCAATAGGGACACTATGTTCATGGTGACATGACTGAACTTACTTACTAACAGTTTCAGGCTGAGAGAATAGTTACTGATCAATCAGAGAGCAAATATAAGGTAAAGAATATCTTCACAGTTAAGAGGAAGTAGGACAGAAGACTGGAGGTTGTAAAGAGAAAAATAAACGCAGACTTAGGGGTCTGAGAGAGAAAACACTTTTTCTATACGATGAGATCTAAGATGTGGCATCGAGAAATATGTAGTAGGTCATACCTCTTCCTGGCCCCATGAATCCAGGAGTCAGGAATGGGGAAAGGAAGCATCCTTTCTCCTTAGATAAATATTTTGGTAACACTGGTCTATAGCAAGGGTTGGCAAACTTTTTCCATAAAGGGGCTGACAGTAAATATTTTAGGCTCTCTGGGCTATCTAAAGTATCTTTCACATTTTCTTAAACACAATCCTTTAGAAATGTGAATACTATTCTTTGTTAGTGGGCTTTACAAAAACAGATTGCTGACCAGATTTGACCCATGGACCATAGTTTGCAACCCCTGGTCTACAGGATAAAGTTCTAACTTTTTAGTTTCACAGTAAAAGATGTTAATAATCTAAATCTAATCTCTCTCTCCAGTCATGCCATTCCACACTCTACATTTCTTGGATGCAGAATTTTCCATTTTCCTGAATACTCAGTCAAAGGCCTCCCATAACTCTGGGCGTTTGTTCTTGGAGTTCCCTTAGGCAGTGAAGTCTTTCTTCATTTCTTAGCTTATGTAACTTGTTATCCAAAATCCAATTCCTATGTCACTTCTTTATATGCCCTTCATAATTTACCCAAACAGTAATCTATTACCTTTTCTATTCAAACCTCTTTTTATTGTTCAAATCTCCCTTAAAAGCATTCATGGTGATGAATGATAATCTCTTCACAGTCTACCTCCTCATACCCCCACTACTCTGAGTGTTTAATGGAAGGAATTTCGTATCCATCTTGGTATTTCCACTCCCCGACACCAGTGCCTAACAGTTCCTAGCGGATAGTACATGCTGTATAAATATTAATGAATGTACTACATTATTCATACATTTTAATATAAATATCTTTGTGTGATAATAGCTGTTACTTTATACAGTCATAATTGGATTCCAGTGCTTATGTTTTTTAAAAAAGAAGAATTTCATTATGATTTTAAGAGCATTTTCTACTTTACATGCCTGGTTGTGTTCATGAGTTGTACAATTATCTGTTCCATTATGTTCTGTTAGCTGTTCTCTTCTTTTTTCTCTAATAAGAATTTTATGAACATCATCTTCCAGTCTATTGAAGAATCCTCCATCATGTGATAAAGTCTGAGAAGAACTCAATTCCTGTCAAAAATGAAGTATGATTTACTATCATTCAACACAAAAGTCTATGCATTTAATAAACCTAGTTAACCACTATAAGGATAGAGAATAAAACAAAAAATGAAAACTAAGAGGTAATCTGCCATGTGATCTGTCTCCAGAAGACAGAGAAACAAACAGTATAGACATATTTTAGCAGTCATTTCCCATTTCCTCCTCTCCCCCACAATAGCTCCCCACAGGCCTAGGCAACACTAATCTACTTTTTGTCTCTACAGATTTTCCTATTCTGGACTTCTGCTATAAATTAAATCACACAAAATGTGGTCTTTTGTGACTGGCTACTTTCACTTAGTATAATGTTTTCAAGGTTCATCCATGCTGTAGCATGTACCAGTACTTCATTTCTTTATGTTACTGAATAATATTCCATTATTTATCCATTCATCAGCTGATGAACATTTGAGTTGTTCCTATTTTTTGGCTATAATGAATAATGCTACTATGAACATTCATGCACAAGTCTTTGTGTCGACATGTTTTCAATTCTCTTAGGTATATATCTAGGAGAATTGCTGGGTCATATGGTAGCACTATGTTTAACCTTTTGAAGAACTGCCAGATGGTTTTTCAAAGCAGCTGTACTATTTTATAATCCCACCCTCATAAACTGTATGAAGGTTCTGATTTCTCAACATCCTCATCAATACTTGCTATTATCTATCTTTTTGATTATAGCCATCCTAAAGGGTGAAAAGTGGTATTGTGGTTTTGATTTGTAATTCCCTGATGGCTAACAGTATTGAAAATCTTTTCATGTGCTTATCGGCCATTGTATGCCTTCTCTGTAGAAATATCTATTCAGATCCTTTACCTGTTTTTTAATTGGGTTACTTGTCTTTTTATTACTGAGTACTAAGAGTTCTTTATATATTTTAGATACATAATTTGCAAAAAAAATTTCTCATTCTGTGGATTCTTTTCACTTTCTTGATGGTGTTCTTTGCATCATACAATTTTTTTATTTTGATGGAGTCACATTTCTGTTTTTTTCTTTTGCTGCTCATGCTTTTGATACCATATCCAAGAAACCATTTTCTGACCAAAGGTCACAAAGATTTACTCTTATATTTTCTAAAAGTTTTACAGTTTTCACTCTAATATGTAGATGTGTGGTCCATCTTGAGTTAATTTTTGTATATCGCGTGAGGAAGAGGTCCAAATTAATAATTTCACATGTGGAAATCCAGCACCATTTGTTAAAAAGGCTATTCGTTCCCTATGCACCCTTGTCAAAAATCAACTGAATGTAACTATAAGGGTTTATTTCTGTACTCTCAATTCTGTTTGACCGACCTCTCTGACTAGCCTTATACCAGTCCGCAATGTCTTGATCACTGTAGCTTTGTTCAATCTTTTACATTGTATTTTAAAATAATTTTTAAATAAATTCTACACAGTTATGGTAAAGAGATAAGACTTTATCATCATTTTTCCGATTATGTAAAATTAGAAATTTTACACATTCTCTGAGAGAGTAGCATTTCCTCTCCAATTTCTTGTTGTGAAGACAGACTGAAGAAAATGCTCCTCTAACTCTAACTGGCTTCAAATGTCCTATATTCTTGAGCTATAATACTCCTGATTTACACAATTTAATTGTATTCATGAGCAAATGACCCAAAAGTTCAGTCACTCTTCATCCTTTTCCCTTCACATATCTTATAAAGTGTACAAAACAAAAAAAAAACCTTGTATATTAGTGCTTAATAAATAACTTTAAAAGTGTTTGCACAGCACTTCATATTTTTCAACGCACTTATAAAAACATCACTTTATTTGAATTTCATAAACACTGTGAGAGGTTGATAAACCAAAAAAATCAAAACCATTCCCATCGAGTTGATTCTGACTCATGAGGTTGACAGAGCAAGCATGATTTCTCTACAAGGTGATCATGGCCTCAGAAAAGTTAAATGACTTACCCAGGAATTATTCTATTGTTAAACTGCACAGATACAAAGCCTAGTGCTTCATAAAATACTTCTAATATATTCTGCTAAGATTTTATTTTAAAGTAATAAATACAAAAATATGTAAAACACTGCTGAGCTCCCATGGAAAGAACAGCCTGCTTTTGGCACCTGATCAGCTTCTGGGTTTCATCTCACTAAAGACTGCAGTTCTACCAAGTGTCCTCTGTTTTTGATAGCTGCTATCATTACCAGCATCCTATCTCAAGGGGCAGTATGCCCCCTGAGTGTTTTTAAGTGAGATACAAAATTTATCTTCAGCCTATAGATGGAATTTTCCAAAAGGAACACTGATAAGAAGCTGAAGTTGGGGGGGGGGAACAAAAATAAACCACAATCACACACACACACACAGAAGACAAAAACATGACAAACGTAAGAACAATAAGAAAAGTCTGTTGTTGTTAGCTGCTGTTGAGTCGATTCTGACTCAAGGCAATCCCAGGTGTGCAGAGTAGAACTGCTCCATATGGTTTTCAGGGCTGTGACCTTTTGGAAGTAGATCAGCAGGCACGTCTTTTGAGGAGCCTCTGGGTGGGTCTGAACCACCGACTTTTCAGTTAGTAGTCAATTGCTTAATTGTTTGTGTCACCAAGGAACTCCTAAGAAAGATCTAGCCAATTCACTTTCTATTTAACCCAACTTTCGAGCATTTATTATGTGGCAAGCATATGACAAATAAGACTGTGGTTCTGAGGTAAGCATACCATATATATCAATGGAACAGAATTGAGAATTTAGATATAAATCCTTCTATTTATGGTCACTTTATTTTTGACTAAGGAGTCAAGGCATTTCACTAAGGAAAGAAGAGTGTTTTCAAGAAATGGTGCTGGAACAATTGGATATCCACATGCCAAAAGGTGAATTTACACTCTTTTCTTTAGATCATACAAAAAATAAACTCAAAATGGATCACAGGCTTTCAAGAAAGAACTAAAGCTACAAGCTTCTGGAAGAAATCATCATGACCTTGGGTTAGACAAAGATTTATTAAATGAACACCAAAAGCATGATCCATAAATGAAAAAATTGATAAACTGAACTTAATCAAAATTAAAAATTTTTGTGCTTCAAAAGGCATGCCATTAAAAAAATAAAACGGCAACAAAGCCTGAGGAAAAGTATTTGTAAATCCTATATCTGATGTAAAACTTGAATCCAGAATGCATTAAGAAAACTTATGAATCAATAAGAAGACAAACAACACTTAAAAATGTGCAAGAAATATGAGTAAACATTTCAACAAAGATACAAGAACATCGTATTTTTACACAAATAATATAAAGCTTGTTTGTCTGCCAACCATGCCTTTGCCCCGTGAGGTATTTTCATAAATGTACTATTATAATTTTTTTTTTCACCAACACATTAAAAAAAAAAAAAAAAAAGGCATAGTGGTGTTTACGAAAATACCTACTGGGGGAGGGAGCAGTTGGCAAACAAACATAGAAGGTGCACGTTATTTGTGCAAAAATACGATAGCTAATAAGCACGTGAAAACTACTCAAAATCATCAGTTACTTTTTAGGGAAATTCACATTAAAATCATAATGACAGGACTTCCGGGCAACATGGCACTATAGGCAGAAGCACCACACCTTCCCTCCACAGCAAAGATGGGAAAAACTAAGCCAAACAGAGAAAACAGCAATCCTGAAACCCTAAGCATCAAATGAAGAGATAAAGAACTCAGCCAAGCACCAAATGAAATAAGAAACTGACAGAGATTGGAGAGTGAGCAGAGATGCATGCAGAAGTACCCTATCAGCTAACGCTGCCAAGATCCACCATCCTGGACTCCTATCGGAGATCAGCGAACAGGGTACGACAAAGCAGCTTCACTGAGCTTCCAGCAGGAGACAGACCAACCAGTAACCAGCGAAATATGCTTGCCCACCCCCGACTCGTCTTCACCCCCACTCGGCTTCCTCTGCTTCCTGTGGCCAGTCTTCTGGCCAGGAAGCATCAGCTTCTCCCTGGTGTCGCTTGGATTCCACCCGCACACACTGGCAGGCTCCCTAAGTGCCCTTTGTTGGCTGTTGTTGTTGCTTTTGTTCTGCTTCTTTAGACTTCTTCCTTACCTCTCACCACCTCCCCCTCCTTTCTCTCAAATACCTGGCTCCATGCGCCATCTTTGCTTCTTCCTGAAAGTCTGTGAAACATCACTCGAATGTGAAAACTGCATCCCAGCGCGTGCTGCCACACTGGTGGGATCCCAGGGCTTTTTTTGTTTGTTTGTTTTGAATTGTTTGTTTGTTTTCTCGAAATGGGAGCCCATTCTAGCTGGGAAGTACTGTGTGGCTTGAGACCTACCACCTCAGTTTGTGCAGACGCTCAGAGGGATCTGCGACGGCACTTCTGTTTTCTTGGTTATTTTTGGTTTTTTTTTTTTTTTTTTTTTTTTTTTTTTTTGGGGGTTTTTTTTTTTTTTTTTTTTTTTTCTGTTTCTCTTTGGGGGTTTTCTTGTTCTTTTTTTTATTTGTTCTTATTTTCTTTTCCCTCTTTTTCCCTTTTTGTCTTTCTTCATTACTCAGTTTCTCATCCGTCTATACTTTCCATCTCTTCCTGTCCCCTGAATACCTGGCGCTGAGTGACACCTCTACCTCTTCTAGCCAGGCTGTCTTCACAGCCTGGGAGCAACTTCCGCAGACCTCACAACCGCACCGGAGGGATCCCAGGGAGCTTTTCGTTTCTTTTTTCTAATTTTTATATATTCATTTTTTTCTTTTCTTTCTTCTTCTCCTTTTTGTTTTTCTCCATTTCATAGTCTCTCATCTCTCCACTCCAATGGCAAGCTCCCCTAACACTCTTTTTTGTTTGTATGTTTTTGGCTCCTATTCGTCTCTCGTCTCTCCCATACCCATCTTAGCTCCACACATCACAATCTCCCCCCTCCAGTCTGCCTACCTGCACCGTGCACTGAACATCACACCACCAAGCAGCACAGGCACGGCCTAACAGAACCTACCATGCACTGATTACCTA